AAAAACTCAATTTTTTTAGAAAATTGACTGTAAATCAAAATTTTACCGTGTCAATTCATCAGAAAAAATCAAAAATCAAAAGACAAAATACGTTATACGTTTCCAAAATTAAATATTTTATAAAAAAATATATGCATTCGGAGATATATCTCCGAAAATAAAGAACATTTTTATCATTTCACCAAGAGTATGCGAAAAGGTATAAAAGTGCAAAGAAAAATTTCCAGAATAAAAACCCAATTTAAAAATGTTTATTATGTGATAAGAACTATGAAGTAAGTATTGTATGAAAATTACAATAACTATGTAAACTCATAGGAAGAAGTGATGTTCATGTCACAAATTATTACAAGACTCAAACTAGTCATGATTTATTGAATTGAAATTTGAAACAAACTTGATGATATACATTTGCACAAATATAATCACATTAATAAACACAATTAACAAGTCTATAACCACATTAATCATTTTTTGTCTTGCTGTTTTGAGTCAGGTTTGAGAGGACTTATTCCCCGATTCGACAACCTCATTTCTCTAGGCATTATCGGACTATTGGGTCCTCTTGCGCCTGACCGAGGGACTTTGCTCCGCCGTGAGCTCGCCCACCCGAGAATTAAAAGAGACGCGCGGACTAAGACGGCTCTTAGGATCACTTCTTGGTGTTGGAGTGGAGCTATTGATCTTTGGACTGTTAATAGTATGCCTAAACTCACCACGGCTTCTAGTGATAACTTCATCGAATATCTCACCTTCTCCAATATGAGAAACACCAGCTCCAAACTCCGATTGCTGTTAATCAATCGATCATAATCGTCAGATCATAAAAAACGTTTGATTTTAATCAAACTACTGTTAGTCACACATATCAGTGATTGATACTTGTTGGACAAGAAATCTTACCGATGCAAGGTTGAATGGTAAAGCGGTTTGCTCTTCGTATTCCGCTGCATCCAAGTCTTGAAGATGCGCACCTTTGAAAAATTTGGGAAGAAAGAATTGTCGAACCGGAACTAAGAGCATGATCATCAAAGGAAACATGACTCCAGCAATAGGTACCCAAGTTAGTCCAAAACATATCAGTAGATAAATGGTTTGGAAAATTGTGAATGTCGCTATTGTTTTGAAAGGAACTGTTTCGACAAAAGTAGCATGGTAATCTTCAAGCACCCTACACATGATAAAGAAAAATTGTTCATCATTATATGCACAGATAGAATATGTTAGATGGATTAAATATATCGAACTTTTATTTAACAATTACTTGAATCTTCTGCTCGGTGCGGTGAAGAGTAACAAGATCCTTTCCCAGAACTGATTTCCAGGTAAACTTTCAATTGCCATGAATGCGAAGTAACCCCAAAGGACTGAAGTTGGGATTTTCTTGAGAATAGGCATGGCTGCAACACATCCTCCAACCATTACTGATTGAAGCAAGTTACTGACGCGTTGTTCTTTTACCTCAACAGGTAGCAGGTCGTCTATTTCTTTCTCGACATCGAATATAGACTCGTCAACCGGGGCGTCCACGCTTCCCATACTTGTAGCCGCTTGAATGGTTGTTTCTTTCAATTCTTTTAGTCCTTGTGCCTAATCATTTTACACAATATATACTAGTATTAAGAACTCGTGCAATGCACGGGGAGAAATTCGTGAAAAGAAAGTTCCGCATAAACTTACTCGAGTGGAAGGGTCCTGGTAAATAAGAGGTGTCTGCATTTGATGGTATACTTCTTGCATATTGCCATATAACTGTCCTAAACTAGCATTCTTACCGATACTTTTTCGAGCAGTTATCACGAGTTTGTTACGAAGCAACTGCACCAACAGAACTCATTCTTAGTTAGACGTGTTCATGTTACTAAGAATTGATACCGTTTTGTCGATACATATTTAACTCGACTTACCTGATGTTTAAGCGTTGCGAGGCTTTTCGTATGCATCGGAGATTGCGGTATGACTCCATTTGCCGGAGGAATTCCAATAAGGCCACACAATAACGTCTTCGATTAAAAACATAAATGTTATGATTAGAACAAAATTAAGCAAGTTAAAGTTTAATGAACTAAGAATTAACATAATCAACTTTCATACCAAAAATCCCAAAAGGAGTAAATCATAATGGTAAGAAGATGGTTTTCTCAAATTGAACTCTTTTTGCTGAGAAAGCTGAGATGCAACGCTATGATCGAAGTAATAAAGCACGGCGATCATAGTTGCTGGTATAAATGCTCCGATTATGAAAACAACAGGAACTTGAACCATATCCTGTTCAGAACAAAGCCATCTAGTTAATAAAACAGTGTTTCTGTGAACGAGAAGAGAGTTTGTAGGTTACATGCCTTAACGACAGTCCAATTGTCATAGGCACCGGGCGACCAAGGATTCGGACTAAAGAGGCGTCTTGGAATACCGTTTGGAACACTTGCAGTTGGCATGTAGGATACACCTGTCCAAACTAGGACCATAAGCGGCACACCGTAGTCAGCTATAAGACTACGAAGCCAACCTGTATTAAAACAAAAATTGTTTACTTTGAAAATCAAATGACTGCAAGCAGTGCCGGATTCAGAAATTTTAAGCTATTGAGGCGATTCTTGTAAGTATAAAGTAGTGATAGTAACACTTATGCGAGACTTACCACTGCCATAGCGCCATGATCTAGCTTTTCGGCTTTTTAATGCAGTGAGGAGAAGGCCAAATGAAAGGACCAAAGCAAACATCCCATTAGCAAACCTCCACGACGGTAAGAACTCAATCGATTTCGTATCTTCTCTCTTCGGTATGCGAAACTCGTCCACGAGTCCCTAAACAACGAGTATATCGTGTAAATATGCATTAAGTAACACCTCTGCAGATAGACAGATAGATAGATAGATAAATAGAAAAACCGACCAAGGTAATTGTCTTACTTTGATAGCTTGCTGCATAAAAAGCATTGCAATAAGCATGCCAAACAACTCGCCAGCAATTCGGGTAAACCTGTTGATGATGGAACATGCTCCTAAGATGGCCAGTAAGAATAGTATCAATGCAGTCCACACACATACCCTACAAAATCAAGTCATAAAAAAAGAAAACAAGAAAATAGTAAGCCAAGCGACAGCCACAGGACTAGAACCTAAATAAAGGCCTGTTTGGATTACTGGCATAAGCACTTGTGTCATACTCCCTTTGGTCCATTATATATAGACCAGATACATTCTTATTCACTGAATCTAAAAAGTAAATTTTTCTTATAAATAGAATCAGAGAGGATACTATTTTGACTATTATTTATCTTTCGTTATGAACATAGCAAATTCAAAAGAACTTATATAATAAGCGCTTATGCTATAAACACTGAATTTACTTTTATATCCAAACAGGACTTAATTGCGGCAAGGTCCAAAAAAACAAAAACAAAAAGGAACAAGCTATTTACCATCCAGTCCATCCAAGAAACAAGTTCCTACCCAACTCAGGTCTTTCTTTAGCAAAATTGAACATGAATGTATACATGATCACAGTAGGTTCTGCCACACCTAAAATCAACAAAGGTTGACCACCAATGATTGAGTGTATAATGCCACATATTGAAGTTGACACCAACGTTTGAACAGCTGTTAAAACACCCTCTGAAAATTCAAAACAACAACACATTTTAACACTGACCCATTTCCAAAGTTCTCTCCTTTTTTCCATTTTTCAAACCAAATTCCAAATTAAGAAAACCAGAACATTTCATATCAGTACCAGTATTTCTCTCAAGCTGTTCACCAAATGAAATAACAGGTATTGCAGAAGCAAAAAATATGTATGTTGTAGGAGCCAAAATCCTGAAAGGAAAAAAAAAAAATCAAAACTTATGAGAAAAAAACTTTTTATAATCAAAATTCTGAATCTTGCTTTAAGAATATACCTTACACCTGCTTTGATTCCACTAGTCCAATCTTGTTTGTAGCACATTAACCTTCCTCTAAGATCATTCTTGATACCTTCAAGAGGTACAAAAGTTTCCTCCATAGTTTTTGAGAATTTTTCCCACCAAAGAAGGTTAAGGAAAGAGTAAAAATTCCAATCAAGCTACAAAAAAGTGCAATTTACATGATTTTTTGTATTGGTTTGTATCTGAACAAGGTTTTAATCACAAGCAAAGTGTGGAATTAGGATTGAGGAATGTGGTGTTAGAGTTAAGAAGGGGGTGTGGATAGCATGGATGTTGCAAGTTAGGTTCAAAGACATATGGAGAATGAAAGATTCAATGAAATGAAATGACAGCTGTATGAACTGGTTGTGACCTTCTTAAGTGGTTCCTAATAAGATGAATGTGTTTGCAGAGTATTTATAAGCTTAAAAAAAGCATGAAATGATGATGGTACACTTTATTTGGAAGTATACTGTATAATGACACCACCTTGTAAAATGTAAAATACATTTTATATATATATATATATATATATATATATATATATATATATATATATATATATATATATATATATATATATATATATATATATATATATATATATATATATATATATATATATATATATATATATATATATATATGTAATGTGTCTTTCCAGCTTCATCGTCAATAGGGTTTTTTATTTTTAATAACAAAAAGTCTGCTTAAGATTATTTAGATCTTTATTTGTATAAAAATTTAATTTATAGTATTTTGAGTCTATGTATATAATTTGTTTGTTGCAACGGTTTTATTATAATATATTTATATGAATTTTTTTTTTCAATGAGAAAATATAAATAAAAATTGATGACATTAATGTTTGATTGTATAAAAATATTTTTTTTCATTTATTAAATTTTTTATCTTTTTTATTATTCTGATTTTATTTTTTTTGAAATATTGTATTCTCATCATTACTTTAATTATATTTCAAAGAAAATAATAATTATATAAATTAAGAGATAATTTATATGATGAAATTGAGTTCTTTACAAATTATTTTATTATTTTTAAAATGTGCAATATAATTTTTGACTATATTGATCTCAACCGGGCATGTCCAAAGATGCATTTCTTTTACCTAACATTGACATGTTAGTCAACAACTCGGTCGACTATAAAATTTTATCATTTATGGACGCTTACTCGGGCTATAATCAAATTCCCATGGCGATGAGCGACAAACATTGCACTGCCTTCATGACCGAGTCGGGCAATTACTCAGACCGTTCGTACAAGGATCATATCAAACATGGTTGTCGACTATTTCACAAAATGGATAGAGCCTGAAGCCCTGGCCAGAATCACATCACACAACATCCTTAGTTTCTACAAACGAAATGTGTTTTCCCCGATTCAGCATACCACAAGCGCTCGTTACCAACAACGCGACGCAGTTCACTGACCAAAGCTTCCAACAGTTCTTCGCCAAGCCTGACACCAAATAACACTTTACGTCCGTCGAACACCCTTAAACCAACGGGAAAGTCGAGGCCGCGAATAGAGTTATCTTACGAGGACTCAAGTGCAGGTTTGGCAAAGCCAAAAGGGGGCGGGTTGAAGAGCTGCACAACATCCTATGAGTTTACCGAACGACACCACACTAGACAACCGGCAAAACGCTATTTCGACTAACTTATGACACAAAAACAGTCATCCCCATAGAAATCATGAAGTCATCCAGACGAACTGAAGTCCCTTTAAACGATGAATTAAATAACAAAACCCTAAAAAAATATTATTGTTTGTGACATTTAGTAATATTCTACATTGATATAAAATACCTTTTGTGAGATTTTGAGTTAAAATTACGTGTGTTGTTGTGTTGTTGGTTAAATAATATTGATGGGTGATGAAAATAGTGTCAAAGGATGGACATTTAACAGAAACAAGTCAAAAGGAATTAAAGACAACAAAATGAATTTATGACGATAAACATATTTTTTTAGTGTGCTTGTTTTAAGCATTTGAAATATATTTTCGAGAATATGACATTGAAAATGCAACAATCCTATATTTATTTCAAATTTTAAAATTTGTTCCAAATATTTTTTAGTTTTAAAAATATTGTTACACGTGATTTTTCTAATATTTATTCACATGTTTATAGGACATAAATCCAAATGAGAATAAACTTTAAATAACTGCAACTTTTAATTAGTACTCACATTTATTTTTATTTTTTATTTTTATAATTTTAAATAAAATAAAATTTATACACAAAATATAATTCATAGAAATATTATTTCATATTTCAAACAAAACACATCTAACTTGTAAATTCTTTAGTTCATGCAGTATATTTTTCTTTTCAAATAGCTTTAGTTCAGGAAATATATTTTTTATGAGTAATGTTAATCCTATCTTCAATTTTTATACCAATACTTATATTTAACATTATTTACCATTTTATATAATGAATAATGTTTTTTAAATAAAATAATATATTAATAAATAATAATGTGAACACTGATCGTAAACCATAAACATAAATATTTTAATAATAAAATAAAGTTAATTAATAAAATATAAAAAATTAATTAATAACATAATGAAATTAATTAATAAATATTTAAATATTAAAAATAATTTAATAATAAAATAAAATTAATTAATAAAAAATAAAAAAATTAATTTATAAATTATAAAATTGATTAGTATACATCTAGATATTGTTTGTATTAATAGGGTTAACACCAAAATCATGTTGGTTAATAATTTTTATTAAAAATCATATTTAGATATAGTGTAGATATTAAAAATAATTTTTAATAATAAAATAAAATTAATTAATAAAATATAAGTAATTGGTTAATGAAATTATGAAGTTAGTTAATAAAATTTTAATATTAAAAATAACTTTTAATAATAAAAAAATTTATTTAATAAAATATAAAATATTATTTAATGAAATTATAGAGATAATTAATTGTATAATTTTATATCAATATCTTTTAACTTAAACAAATTAAAAAAATATTATAATAATATTTTACTATTCATATTATTATTTATAAATATATATATTTTTATTTAAAAATTTGTTCAATTTATAATTATAAATACCATAAATAATATTTTTTTTACAATTACGATTAATAGTATTGAATTAAATATTAACATAATAATTGAATGTAAGAATAACATTACTTATTTTTTATTGGTTGAGTAGTCAGGTTCGGCGGGATTTCACAGGGTGTATTTCTTTTTGTTGAACACTAGTTTGATTTGCTAGGAACGTAGCAGAAGCGGTTTTTATCTTTTCTATATGTTTAAATTTTACTGAGATTAATTTCTGATCTCAGCTCTAACCTACGACATTCATAAATAATTACTTCATAATCTTAGGTTCAGGTATCCTTGCCATCTTTGTATTATAATCAATTTTTTAAAATATTTTTAACAGAAATAATTTAAGTGAACACTCCGGTATTTTTGAGTTTAGTTAAATATCAATACTCTTAACTAATTAAATAGTAAAATTCAATGCCACATCACTTTATTTATTTATTTATTTTAAAATAAATTACAATTTAAATATAATTTACACTAAAGGTATTAGTATCCAACTTAAACTCATGGGTACTAAATTAAACACTTCTAATCTAATATTGGAGATAATTTATGGGCTACTATTACCAAATATGGAATTGTACCTACAAGAGTAGCATTTAGGGATTACAAGGGAAAGATTGATGAAATGGAAAATCTTGATAGAGAGAAAAGGTTGGTGATGAATGAGTCTCAAAAGTTGCTTAAATGATTGTCGGATCTCTAAATATTAGAGGAGGAAGTAGTATTTTAAAGAGAAAGAAGATTAGTTCTATCATTTGTGATGGTAAAGTCGGTGCATTTTTAATTCAGGAATCAAAGTTGGGAGATGTATATGATAAAATTGCCGTCAATTTTTGGAGGAACTCGAAAATTTGGTGGTCTTATTTCGGGTCTGCAGGTTTTTTTAGTGGATTAATTATCTTATGGAAAGATCTCAATTTTGATGTGATTTTTAGCTTCAAAGGGATAGGTTTTCTGGGGATAAAGTGAAGCTGGAAGGGAAATTTGTATTATATTGTGAACATATATTCTCCTTGTTCGTTGCAACAAAAACGTGTTTTATGGAAGGAACTATTGAGTTTGAAGTCCAATTTTTCTGATGGGGAGTGGATTATGGGGGGGGGGGGATTTTAACTCTACGAAGAACGAAAGGGAGATGAAAGGTAACAATGCAGGCAGACAGTCGGAGATGAGGGATTTCACATCCTTTATCGATGATTTTCTCTTGGGAAAGAGGTTCACTTGGTTTAGTGGAGATGGTAGGTCGACGAGCAGAATTAATAGATTTTTGGTGGAGGAGTCGATTATTAGCAGATGGGAGATTGTTGGTCAGTTGATAAGGAATAAGGATATTTCAGACCACTGCCATATTTGGTTGGTGGTTAATAAGGAGGACTGGGGCCCGAAACTGTTCCAGGTTAATAATAGTTGGTTTGATCACAAGGATTTTCTTCCTTTTGTGGAGCAGGCTTGGAGGAATATTAGAGTGGATGGAAAAGGTGACTTCGTATTGAAGGAAAAATTTAGGTTGCTAAAAAATCATCTTATAGTTTAGAATTCTTAGGTGTTTGGTAGATGGGATCCGGAAATAGAGGTCGATAAAAAAAAGCTGAATAAGGAGGATGAATTATTAATTTCATATAGGGAGGATGAAATGGAGGAAATTGTGGCTTAGGAGTGAAGCTTCTAGTCATATGTGGTTACAGATGAAAATCAAAGAAAATATGATTCTTCAGAAGTCTAGATTGAAGTGGGATTCTAAAGGGGATTCAAATAGTAAATTTTTCACTGTTTTATGAAAGCTAGGAGGAGAACCAATTTCATTGGGAATATCCAAACGAAAGAGGGGGTGGTAGGGTCAGTTGGAGAAGTAAATGAGGAAGTGAGGCGTCATTTTGCGGAGAAATTTATTGAGACCGATTACCATCGGCCTATTCTGGATGGTATGTCGCTTAATACTCTTTCTCCTTCTGAGAGGGACTCCTTGGTGATCGAA